ATTCCACATAACGAATAATTGTTTGTAGTTGTGCATCGTCTACCTAAATTCCACTTCTCTTCTAAATTCCAGAGATAAACAATCGCAATTGCGAACAGAGCAGCGGCACGGCCGCCGTCGCTCACGTCGCGGTGTATGAGGACTTCTAAAGCGTAAGCGTAATCATGGGTTTATGCTAAGATGAACGATAGCTGCCAAGTACACGCTACGAACATGAGTGTCTATTGACTATAAGTCATCGCCATGCCCCTTAAAAGGCTAGCCGCAATAAATGTGTTATGGGTGGCCCAGCGGAATGACTGATTAGTTTCTCTTAGCTATCGCTCGGGAAAAGCTGCATTATGAGATTTTTCCAAAGACTAGTTACGAATATTGCATCTGTTTTGTGCAAAAAAGGCGAACAGTGTTATCTACAGCACTTTCCTTCCCTGCATTGCTCGCAAAAGAAAACAGGAAGATCTTAAGGATTTTTGAGTATCCTTAATTTTCTTGGTAATCATCATATGGCTTTATCAAAGAATAATTTACATCTAAACATGCAATTTCGAGGGTTCACAGCTTTTGCATTCGACATCGTCTAAGTTTTTCCGACAGTTTAGAGCTTCATCAAAATGATATCAACGTTGTTAGATTTATGTGGACGTTAATTTGGGGATGTCAGATTTAACTACTGTATGTAGTTTGTTCTCAGATTAGGCAATTTTAAAAGCGGAAAAAGAGCGTACAATATCACAAAAATGTTACTTGGGACATTTTTAGAGTGTTGTTCAATCTATTACGCCGCATGCGTGATGGACAACTTAGCAGAAATCCTTATGGCCACATGGTCAACCAAAGCTTAGTTGATATGAGATTACAATTTAACCTTACCTTGCATGCAAGTGAAAAATTGAAACATGTTAACAGTAGGCAGATATACGAGTACAATGACACAGCTAATTCCGAATATTTTTCTAATTCGCCCATAAATTTGCACTTTACCCTGAAGTCCTGCTATCGAATACGTTAGGTAGTCTTTGAATTGAATGTTCATTTTTCTCAACAAATTCTATGCATAACTTTGCAGAAAAACTTATTTAGCAAAGCAGATCTGATTTAGATTCAATATATAAATACTCTTATATTATGAAAACCTCGGCAAAATTCAGAAATTTTGAAACAAGTATTACTTCACAACAAATCGGCAAAATCGTGCCGTGCTCTGTCAAGGGAGCGCAACGTATTGTCTTTGCTGCGCTTCTATAGGGATGTGCAGCAGATGCGGTTGGCAGCTTGCGGCTGACGCAAGCTATCGTTCATCTTGCGCGATTTCGAAAACTAAGATAGTGCTTATACAGTGCAAGCGCTATTTTAGTTTTTAAATTTGCTTTACAACTACAAACATGATATTACTCAGTCGTCGTTCTAGGCGTTAAAGGACGACAGGAAATTTTACATGTGCAAAATCACGATTTCTTTCAAAATCTTGCGTAAAATCCTTTATCGTGCACTCAAAAAACATTTCACACTCTTATTTCAAATCTGAGGTTAACAAGCGAATCATCTTACCTAATCACACCCTTCTCCCCTCTAGAACAAAAGTACTTTACCTGAGGGCCTTGTTCAGTCTTCAAATCGAATGGGTCACCAAGAACCCTTTTCTCAGCCAATTCCTTCGATTTGGCGATGAAATCATCATAAATCTACAAATAAGTATTTTTTAGAAAGGATACAGAGCCACGAATTTAAAATACCTTTCCTTCAACAAAAACTCGGGATCCTGCACAACACACTTGTCCTTGATTAAAGAATAAAGCTTCATGAGCTTGTTTGACAGCGTAGTCCACTGAAAAGACCAAATTTTTTGCCTTTTTTACTAGTAAAGGAACATTTGATGTTTTCTGATTTCTTCAGTTGTGAGCGTTCGCCTTTAGAAGCCCGATGAACTCGAACAGTGCTATCCTCTTGGGCTTTGCTAGATGAACTCACAGTAAGCATTTGAGGAATCTAGACAACTATTCAAGTTGAATTCTTTTAAAGATGTTGTGAAACAATCGAATTTTGGATTATCTCCTAGCGTGGACCGACAATGCACGCTCACCGCCATTGGTGTATGAGGTCTACCGAGAAGACCTCGAGAAAATGTGGATGTGTACCATTATTTGTGACTGTCAATAACCTACGGAAAAGATTCTTT